CCCCAGCTGCCTTCATCCTTGTGGGCATTCCAGGTTTGCAGTCTTCATATCTCTGGCTGGCTATCTTCCTGAGTGCTATGTACACCACAGCCCTGTTAGGAAACACCCTCATCATGACTGTGATCTGCATGGATTCTACTCTCCAAGAGCCCATGTATTGCTTCCTGTGTGTTCTGGCTGCTGTGGACATCGTTATGGCCTCCTCTGTGGTACCCAAGATGGTGAGCATCTTCTGCTCAGGAGACAGCTCCATCAGTTTTAATGGTTGTTTCACTCAGATGTATTTTGTCCATGCGGCCACAGTTGTGGAGACAGGACTGCTGGTGGCCATGGCTTTTGACCGCTATGTGGCCATCTGCAAGCCCCTACACTACAGTAGGATTCTCACACCTAAAATGATGCTGCGAATGTGTGTGACCATCATCATCAGAGCTGGCATGTTCATGACTCCTTTGATTTGGATGTTGATTCATCTTCCTTTCTGTGGCTCCAATGTGGTTCCCCATTCCTACTGTGAACACATGGCTGTGGCTAAGTTAGCCTGTGCTGACCTCATGCCCAGCAGTCTCTACAGTTTGATTTGTTCTTCCATTATTGTGGGCTCTGATGTGGCCTTCATTACTACCTCTTATGTCTTGATTCTCAGGGCAGTGCTTGGTCTTTCCTCAAAGAATGCTCAGCGGAAAGCATTAAGCACTTGTGGGTCCCATGTAGTAGTCATGGCTCTATACTATCTGCCTGGAATGGTGTCCATTTATGTAGCCTGGTTAGGGCAGGGCATAGTGCCCTTGCACATTCAAGTATTGTTAGCTGATTTGTACCTGATCATCCCACCCACCTTAAATCCCATCATTTATGGTATCAGGACCAAACAAATAAGGGAGAGAATATGGAGTTTGGTGATGCACTGCCTCCTTGACCACTCCAATAAAGTATTATGAGCCTAACATGTTCAGATGTTTAGTTTTCCAACCAAATGCAACAATGCTTTATAGTCTGTGGAGGAGCATTTGTTTCCCTAGATCTAGGGAAATTCTAAGATGGAACTGTAAAGTTTATATGAATGGGATTATTCTGGTTTTATTGAAGCACTTTATGAAATTGTTTTAAATGGTTTTATTCAATGTAAATATAATTGGGCAAAGAAGGTAGCTTCAGAAATGTTTGTTTTCTTCATTTTGGATACATATATATATATTTATATATATATATAGTATGTATATATGTATCCTACCAAATACTTTTCCCCCATAAATGATTGTTTATTGTGTCTTAATACAATGCAAATTTACACTCCTACTGTTCTATTAGTCAGAAATTCTATGGGCATCTCAATAGGGCTGCACTACTTAATGGAGGCCCTTGGTAAGAATCTGTTATTCATCCTCTTCCAACTTCTCAGAGTTGTTTGCTTTCCTTTATTTTGGATTTCCTTTGTCCACCATTAAAGTAACAGTTGTTGGACCTTTTTCCTGGGCTCACAATTCTCCCTCTGATTATCTTTGGAGGACTGATATAGTAAGATTGAGACCAGCTATATAATCTTGAGTATTGTCACATCAGGATAACATACTCACCCATCAGGTTTAGAGTTATAGCATGGTGTGACAGTACTTGGCATACATGACAATTAGGAAGAGGAAAATGTTACATTGTGAGCTGTTGCTGTGAGTACTTGCATTTTTATGTTGCCTGGATAACTATTTTCAAAGTTCTAAACTGCTCTCTTTTCTTTTACTGTTATTGTAAAGGTGATGTACAGAGAGGTTACAGTAATGAGTACATTTTTAAAAAAATTTTATTTTATTTTTGTGAACATACTGTACAGAGGGGTTACAATTACATGGGGAGGATAATGCGTACATTTCTTATCAAGCATTGCAGCCTCCTCCTTTGTTTACCTTTCACATCCCTTCCCAGCCTCCCCTCCACCTCCCACCCAATCCTCCCCCCCTCCTTCCCACCAACGTTGTAAAGCTCGTTTTCGACTTGACAACTTGTACTTCTCATTGTTGCAACAGGTCCACCTGTATCCTTAAACGACTTGTTTTTCCCCTTCTCCTCCACAA